CCTCCCTCCTCCTCCTCCTCCTCCTCCTCCTCCTCCTCCTCCTCCTCCTCCTCCTCCTCCTCCTCCTCCTCCTCCTCCTCCTTCTCCTCCTCCTCCTTCCCCCTCGGCGACTCTCCGCAGGATCGATGACGGGAAAGGATCGATTCGCCATGGGGGAAGCGAGTCCTGAGGAAAACGGGTCCTGACGCGTTTCGCCGTTTTCGGGCTCTCGGGGCCCTCCACGGGCCCCATGTGCCGCCAGAATCGACTCGGGATGAAGTAGTGGTCCTGGGGGAAGCCCCGGCGTCCAGGACCTGTTTCCCTCAGGACCAGTTCCCCCCACGCTAAATCGACGACCTGCACATGCAATCGCCATGTTGCTGGGTGCTGATGTATGAATGCGGGGGTGTGGAAATATGCTTTGGCGCACGCGCGTGTCCATGTGCCGAATGGTCTGAATGTGACGTGCGCTGCCGTGTCGGAGGGCTGGGGGGGAGCAGGATGGAGCGGGAAGGACTGGGGAGGATTGGGAAGGGTTGGGTGGAGCGGAGGGAAATGCGGAGGAGTATGGAGGGGGTACGAGAGGGAGGAGGAGGTGGCGGAGCGCCCTCAGGAAAGGCACAGTTCCTTACCTGGCCGCTCGACCTCGAGGCCCGACAACCTTGCACCCAGACTGGGGGTCAACGGCCTGCCGATCGGCCATTGGCGATCGAGCGCGCGATCGGCGGGGGGGGGGGGGAACGACCCGCTGATGGCATCGCGCCTCTACGATGGGTTGAGGAGGAGGAGGAGGAGGAGGAGGAGGAGGAGGAGGAGGTGGGAAAGTAGATGATGGCGAGGAGAAGAAGGACAAGGAGAGGGAGTGGCAAGAAGGAGCCGCCATTGGCGATCGAACGCGCGATCGGGGGGGGGCGGGGAACGACCCGCTGATGGCATCGCGCCTCTACGATGGGCTGAGGAGGAGGAGGAGGTGGGAAAGCAGATGAGGGCGAGGGGAAGAAGGACAACGAGAGAAGGGTTGCAAGAAGCACGAGAGGAGCAACAGAAGAGCACAAAAACGCGACAATGCTAGAGGAGTTTGGGAGGAGGGCCCCCGAAGGTCCCTAGACTTTCCAGGGGGTCTGAAAAGACCCAAGAAGTCCCCAGTGGCATCCTGACTCATCACGAGACCCCTTGAGAAATATGAACATCCACAATTCTCCTCGATCTTCGACCCGAGATACGGCATCGAGGAAGACAACGACCACGCCGACGGCGACGACGTCAATGCCGCCGACGACGTGGCTGCTGCCGCCGACGACGTGGCTGCTGGGCGGCGCGCGATAGTAGTGGCGAGGCCTCCGAGGAAGCACAGGATGGAGACGCCAGCTGGACCCTCCTGGCAGCGAACTGGCTTGCCCCGAGGACAGGGGGGAGGACCTGGTGGAGAGGATGGACGTGGCGGATTCCGGACACCCTGCACCCCAAAAACGTTTTCATCTCTTGGGGGGGCGCATCCTTCACTTCCGCCACCTTCCGCCGCCCTTCCGCCGGCTTCTGCCGGCGGCGGCGGCCTCCGTCTACTACTTCCGCCGCCTCTCCGCCGCGGAAGAGACGACCACTCCTTCGCTCCTCGAAGGCAAAGGCCCTCCGTGGAACGCCCCACGTGCGGATGGGGTGCGGGGAGAGCGGCCAGATGGAGATGCCGGGCGAGGAGAAGGCGGGGGAGGGGGGGAGGGTCGAAGCACGCGCGGGCGGGCGGAGGGCAAGGAGAAGGCACGACGCCGCCTCCTCCTCCTCCTCCTCCCCCTCCTCCTCCTCCTCCCCCTCCTCCTCCTCCTCCTCCTCCTCCTCCTCCTCCTCCTCCTCCTCCTCCTCCGCCTCCTCCTCCTCCTCCTCCTCGCCGCAGAGGCGCCGCTGCTTGCCGCCTCCCGCAGCCTCTGCTCGCCTTGGAGCCTGGCCAGCAGCTCGGGCGCACGCTCCTGCAGCTGCTCGGCCTCCGCCCCAGCGGCCGAGCACCTACACAGGGCCCCATCGCTGCAGCTGCCCAGCGTCCCAGAGCGAGGACGCCAGAGAGATCCGCCTTCTCCTCCTCCTCCTCCTCCTCCTCCTCCTCCTCCTCCTCCGCTCCTCCGCCTCCTCCGCCTCCTCCTCCGCCTCCTCCGCCTCCTCCTCCTTCTCCTCCTCCTCCTCCTCCTCCTCCTCCTCCTCCTCCTGACGTCGGGCTCCAGGTATTGAGGGATGAAAAAACGGCCCCACCCTGGGTTACAAGTGCGTGGTCTGTAAACCTCCTGGGAACCCCCAAAGCCTAGAGCCGCCAGGACGCGGCCCCATCACGCAGGGTTTACCCTGTCACCCCACAGGAGGGTCAGCGCACAGCGCCTCGTAAACCAGGGTAGGGGCGTTTTTTTTATCCCCTTGAAGGTACGCCTTCCGCATCTTGCTCAGCAGCGCAAGAACAACGGGCGGCCAGTGTGCGCCCGTCTCGCGCGAGCTGCTCCCAGCGTTTTCGCTGATGGCGTTGGGCTCCAGCCTCGCCTCCCCCACCTCGCTGAGCAGCACCAAACCCGCAGCATCTTCCCGCTTTTCTTACACGCGGTGCCATTGAGCTCACAGCAGCGACATCGCCCAATGCCGCTTGCATCTTTCGCACGCGCTGACTCCAGCATTGTAGCTGACTAGGGCGAACCCGTGGACTTCGTCCACGTCATCTTGGGCCAGTCTTGGCTCGAGAAGGCCGTCTTGGGCCTGTCTTCGCTCGAAATGGCGAGAAGGTGGAAATCTTTCAGAAACCATAGAAGAATCAATGATTTCGTTTGCCGCGGCTCGTCTAGACGCGTCTGGAGAGTCTTCGAGCGGTCTTGGGCCATCTCGGAGGCCCTTTTGGACCGCTTCCGTCTCTTCGTCCGCCTTCCGCTCTACCTCCGCCTAGACAGCCTTCGGAATGTCACAGACGGCTATGGTGGGTCTGCGGTGTACGTCTCGCTGCTTGTCAGTTTTGAAAACACATGGGGCCTTGAAAAAAATCACCCGGAGGGCTCTGGTGACTTTTTTCCGGTTGCCTCTTCGAAGCCTGATGGCGGGCGCTGCCGTCTCCTTGGAAACGGTTAGTGGGCCTCTCGGGGTTTCTTTTCGAGCTCCTGGGGGCCTGTTGGGACCTCGTTGGCTGTCTTGCGGCCTCCTAGGGGCCTCTTGCTTCCCCCTTGGGCCGCCTTGCGGCCTCCTGGGGGCCTTTTCTGTTGAAGTTTTTTGGGGGGCCTCTTGGGCCGTTCCCGGGCTGTCCCCCCGAGCCTCTTCCGGGGGACAGCCCAGGAAATATATTGTGCTTGCGTGCTGTGCGTGCGTGCTCCTGTGTGAGAGGTCGGAAGGGTGTCCCGACGTCACCGCTCGCTCTTGGGAGCTGTGCCTGGGAGAGCTCTCTACGCTGCGTCTCGCTCTCGGGAGCCTTGGTGAGAAGAGCTTTGTGCTTCGCCGATCGCTCTTTTGATGGGCGTCTCTGGGCCTGCTTGGTGGTCCTTGTGGGGGTCTTGTTCGGGCCATTCTGAGGCTTGTTTGGGTGCTCTGGGGGCGTTTTGGGACGTTTTGGGGCCATTTTGGCCCGTCACGGGGCGTTCTGGAGGCCTTGGACCGTCTTGGAGCTCTCTTGAGGCTGCCTGGGGCCGTCTTGGGAGCCTCTTGGGGCCCCCTCAGAGCTCTCTTGGGGCCGCCTTGGGGTTCTGTGAGGCCGTTTCAGGGCTCTCTGGTGTCGTCTTGGGGCTCTTGTGGGCCGACTTGAAGCCCTGTGAGGGGCCGCTGGCGTCTTCTTGGAGCGATTTGGAAGGCCTCTTGGCGTGTCCTGGGCTGCTGAGAAGCACACACAAGGCGGGCATGCTGAAAGTATACGTTTCCCCATGTGATTTTGACGATCTGTGCCTCTTTGGCGTGCGCTCGGGGCCCTCTTGGGGCGTCTTTGCGGCCTCTTGGATCGTCGTAGAGCCCCCCCCCCCCCGGAAAGCTTCGGGACCTCGTGGGCCGTCTCGGGACCCACTGAGGCCGTCTTGGAGCGCTCTACGACGGTCGGGGAACGCCTCTGGAGCGCCTCTGGCTTCGGCCTGAGCGATTCGGCCCCGTGGTGGCGCCGTCAAGGGGCGATTTTGTGCACGTGAGGCCTGGAGAGATTCTCGCACACGCTTCCGCTGGCCATGTAGGAGAGATGATACGGGCCCCCCAGATGCAGATCTTACATCTCGCTGGGCAGCGTCTGAGCCCGCTGCCCCTGTTCGCATTTTCACACACGCACCAATGCCAGCGCTGAAGCTGAGGTTGTTCGGCTTCAACTTCGCCTCCCACATCTTCCTCAGCAAGGTCCGAGCCCGAATCCCAGCTTTGTAATTGACAACGGCGGGCTCCAGTTTCGCCTCCACGTCTCCCTGAGCGCTGCCGCTGGTCGCTCTTCCTGCCCGCGCAGATCCCAGCGCTGTAGCTAATGACGTCGGGCTTCAGTTTTGCATTCCACGTCGTGCAGAGCAGCGAGAAGGACTGCTGCAACTGCTCGCCCTTCTCGAACCTGCTGATCCCGTCGCGGGAATAAATGACGCTGGGCTCCAATATTGCCTCACGCATCTGGCTGAGCAACGCTAACCTACGCTGCCACTGATAGCCCTTGTCGCACGCGCTGGTCCCAACGCTGTTACTGATGACGTCGGGTCCGACTTCACCTTCCAGGTCTCGCTGAGCAGCAACAGAGCCTGCTGCCAGTGATTGCCCTTCTGGCTCGCGCTGACCCGAGCGCTGCAATTGGTGATGGCATTAGGCTCCAGCACACCCTCCCGCATCTCGTTGAGCAGCGCCAGCGCCGGCTGCCACTGCTCGTCCTTACTTAACCGCTGATCACAGCACTGTAGTTATGATAACGTCCTAATCCCAAAACCGCCCCCCACATCTCGCCAAACAGCGCCAGAGCCCGCTAACACTGAACACCTCTAACTCACGCGCCGTTCCCCAGCGCTGTAGCTGACCAGCTTGTCGCATCGTCGCTCCGCAGCAGAGCGCTGATCGCAGGCCTGCATCAGGCTGCGTCGGGCGCCAGCTTCGCCTCCAACATCTCGCTCGGTAGCGACGTGGCCTGCTGCCGCTGCTCGCCCTTCGCGCACGCGGCGATCCCAGCGCTGCAGCCGACTACTGTGTGCACCCGTGCCTGCTGTGGCGCTGCGTGCCGCGTGCCGCGCGACCGCGCGGCCGTTTTGGGGCCGTCTTGGGCGCCTCCGGGGCAGTGTCGGAACCGTCGCGGGGCCGGCGCGCCAGAGGGCACGAAGATACACGAGCGCGCTCCACTACTCGCAAAGAAACTGCTCGCAAATGGCCTGGATCCGCCGCGGGGAAGCTACGATACATGACGTCGAAACGAGCACATGTTTGTTCGGACGTTTGCGAGTAGGCAGTGTGCGAGTAGTGGAACGCGCTCGGTGAGAAGAGGGGCCCCAGAGGGCTCCAAGAGGGCTTCAGGACGCCGCCGGGCGCGGCCCACCCTTCTGCCACGAGAGGCCCCTCTGTGACAGAATGCACCCGGCATTGTCTTGGAGGAGCCCGACGGCCTCAAGAGGGCCGCAAGAGGGCCCCCAGGGGGCCCCCGAGGGCCCCCCAACCGCATGTACTTGATATGCTTCTTGGGTTTGCGAGAGAGGCACGAAGTACATGCGTCATGGGGCCATGTCGGGGCCCTCTTGGGGCCCTCCTGGCCCTCTCTCGGGGCCCCTCGGAAGCGCTCCAACCTTGTCCTGACCCCGTCTTGGGGCCGCCATGGGCCCCTGAGAAGCCGTCCTGACGCAGTCTTGAGCCGTCTTGGGGCCCTCCTGGCATCCTCCAAGGTGCCTTGGGGCGATCTTGAGGGCCTGCGTGGCCGTCTCGAACGCTTCGAAGACGAAACGCACGGGAACTCCCGAAACGTACGCTTTCCCTCGGGTTCGGAACATTTGTCCCAACCTTCCTTGGTTGGGTATTCGTTTAGAATAAAGCACCGCGGTCGCGTCTCCCTCCTCCTCCTCCTCCTCCTCCTCCTCCTCCCTCCTCCTCCTCCTCCTCCTCCTCCTCCTCCTCCTCCCTCCTCCTGCCCTCTCTTTGCCGTCGATGGGGGCTGCGATCTGCAAAACTGTCGCCACTTTCGAAGGCTGCTGGTGGGTCCTGCGGGGTGACGCACAACGCGGACCTGAGCGGGACCTCCCCGTCCCTGGGGGGCTGCGATCTGCGAAACTGACGCCACTTTCGAGGGCTGCTGGTGGGTCCAGCGGAGTGAGGCACCGCGCGGACCTGAGCGGGACCTACCCGTGCCTGGGGTGCTGCGACCTGCGAACTTTCGAGGGCTGCTGGTGGGTCCTGCGGGGCGAGGCACAGCGCGGACCTGAGCGGGACCTCCCCGTCCCTGGGGGGGCTACGATCTGCAAAACTGTCGCCACTTTCGAAGGCTGCTGGCGGGTCCAGGCACGGCGCGGACCTGAGCGGGACCTCCCCGTCCATGGGGGGCTGCGATCTGCGAAATTGTCGCCACTTTCGGAAGCTGCTGGTGGGTCTGGCGGAATAAGGTACCGCGCGGACGTGAGCGGGACCTCCCTGTACCTGGGGGGGGGTCTGCGAAACGGTCGCCATTTTCCAGGGCTGCGATCTGCAAAACTGTCGCCATTTTCGAGGGCTGCTGGTGAGTCCTGCGGGGTGAGGCACAGCGCGGACCTGAGCGGGACCTCCCCGTCCCGGGGAGGGGCTGCGATCTGCAAATTTGTCGCCATTTTCGAAGGCTGCTGGCGGGTCAAGCGGAGCGAGGCACGGCGCGGACCTGAGCGGGACCTCCCCGTCCCTGGCGGGCTGCGATCTGCGAAACTGTCGCCACTTTCGAGGGCTGCTGGTGGGTTCGCCACTTTCGAAGGCTGCTGGTGGGTCCAGCGGAGTGCGGCACTGCGCAGACCTGAGCGGGGCCTCGCCGTCCTTGGGGGATATGTCCTGTTGCTGCTGCCCCGCCGACGTGTCAAGCCCTTTGTCCACCGTCTCCTCTTGGACCTTGCGTCTTCCTTAGCGACTCAGAGGCTCATGCGGAAAACGCACTCCATTATGTTGAAGGCGCTATTTGCTAAAAGGAACAAGCCTTTTAGAAACATCATGTTGCTCTCTTGCGCGACAACCGCGGCGGCGCGTCCGACTTTCCCAGCCACGTCCTGCGCTCGCGCCCAGAATCTCCGGCCAAGGAGCATCTACAACCCGCTGAAAAAATCCAAGGATCGCCGCGACCCGATGCCACGCGACCCTGATTACTCGAGCAAATTCATCGCGGGGTGAACTGGCAGGGAAGACGGGGGCCCTCCACCCCCTGACCGGGCAGTGGCCCCGCACCCCCAAGGCTTCACTAAGGCAGGCCGCGGACTTTACGAAAGCGAAGACTCACCTTTGCTGAAGCGAGGAAGCGGCTTTACTGAAGAGAAGAAACGGCTGTACTAAAGCGAAGAAGCGGCTGTGGTAAAGGCGCGCCGCTCACAAGTGGGCCTTGGAGGACAAGCGAGAAAATCAGAACAGCAAAGAAGAGGATGCCTGCAGCGCGCATTACGTTGGTTCCCGCGTTGTCTGTTTGACGCTGTGAGGGTTTGTCGAGGCGCCTCCAGCCGTCCCGGGGTCTTGTTGGGGCAGTCCTAGTGTTCACTTGGGCGTTTCTGGGGGCTTGCTGGAGGCCTCTCGAGGCCTCTTGGGGCCTCTTGGGGACCTGTTGGGGGTCTCCTGGGGACCTCTTGGACTCCTGGGGGGCTCTTTGGGCGGGGAGCTCGAAATGTAAGTTTCCGCACCCGGCGGCCACACGTGGAACACATCGTGGCGTCAACGGCCAACATTATTCTAGGATGCTCGCTGCCGTGCGCAGCAATCAAAATCAATTAAAGGCCTGGGGAGGGCCAGAGGCCGCTGGCCAACGACCACCATTCCTGTGAGATGTGCATTGACAAGCGAAAAATTGAAGTACACATGTGTAATTGGAGTGGAGCATACAAAGTGATGGTCGTCAACTGCGGGACAGCCCCTCCCGGCCATACGTGGGCGACGAGGATAGTCTTCTAAGGGAAAACCTGCGTTGTCGTCGATCCTCCCCTATAGGCCGGCCGCCCTGGTCCACGGACCAGGGGGTCTCAGGGCCCCTTCCGTCGTCATTCGCCATCGACACCGTCGTCCCTACTCCTACACTAGTGCCTGATCTATTATATGTATACGTCGTTGTCCGTAGCCACCTGTCGTCAATGATGTTGTACTCGATGGTTCCTGCTGTGGGAACCCTGGGAGGAGGGAAGGTGCTGTTTCGAGACCGGCCGTAAGGCTTCTCCAACCGTCGACGAGGACGACGAAGACGACGACCAGCGACGATTGATGTACACTGTTTTGACTCCGGCCGTCGTTGTCGTCGTCGTCGTCGTCGTCGTTGGCGTCGTCGTCGTCGTCGTCGTTGTGGTGTGTCGTTGCGGTCGTCGGCGAGGCGGCCGGAGTCAAAACTGTGTACATCAATTTGCCCCGGTGGCACAGGGCGAGAGAGGCTGGTGCCGACGACGAAGACGACGAGGACGACGAAAACGACGACGACCAGCGACGATTGATGTACACAGTTTTGACTCCGGCCGTCGTCGTCGTCGTCGTCGTCGTCGTCGTCGTCGTCGTCGTCGTCGTCGTCGTCGTCGTCGTCGTCGTCGTCGTCGGCGTCTTCGTCCTCGTCGTCGTCGCGGACGTCGGCGAGGCGGCCGGAGTCAAAACTGTGTACATCAATGTGCCCCGCTAGCACAGGGCGAGAGAGGCAGGTGCCGGAGACGACGCCGACGAGGACGACGAAGACGACGACGATCCGCGACGATTGATGTACACAGTTTTGACTCCGGCTCGTCGTCGTCGTCGTCGTCGTCGTCGTCGTTGGCGTTTTCGTCGTCGTCGTCGTCGTCGTGGGCGTCGGCGAGGCGGCCGGAGTCAAAACTGTGTACATCATTTTGCTCCGCTGGCACAGGGCAAGACAGGCAGGTGCCGACGACGTCGACGACGAGGACGACGAAGACGACGACGACCAGCGACGATTGATGTACACAGTTTTGACTCCGCCTGTCGTCGTCGTCGTCGTCGTCGTCGTGGACGTCGGCGAGGCGGCCGGAGTCAAAACTGTGTACATCAATTTGCCTTGCTGGCACAGGGCGAGAGAGGCAGGTTTGGGGACCTGTGGGCGTCTTGGGGACCTCTAGGGGCTCACGTGGGTTTCCCCAAGGCAGCCAGGGAGGGCCAGGTAGGGCTTCAACAAGGCACCAAGGGCGCCCCAAGACCGGTCCCCGGGGGAGCGGTCGTGGCCAACCTCCGTCTGACGGAGTTTGTCGACGTACGTACTCGCAAGGTGCGCTGTGTGGTAGGCTGTCTGGCAGGGTAGCCTACTGTATGGCCAACGTGGCCTATTCCTCTTAGGTATCTCATACACTCCGGGACAAGGAAAACGTCCGACGAAGAAAACTGTGTAATCGTGGTTGGCCTCTCGGGGGCCTTTGGAAAGCTGTTTTGAAGCGTCTCGGGAGCAGCGTTGGGGCCTCATTTGGGCCTCTTGGGGGCCTCTTGGGGCCTCTAGGGGGCCTCTTGGGCGCTTGTTGAGGCCTCTTGGTGGCTTCTTGGGGCCTTCTGTGGGCCTCTTAGGGCGGAAAGCTGGAATTTTCGGTTCGTGGTCCCTCTCTTAAACTCTCTTGGAGCCGTCTTGGGGCTCTTTTGGGCCGTCTTGGGCGCCTCTTGGGCCGTCTTGGGCCTCTCTTGGGCCGTCTTGGGCCCTCTTGGGGGCCTCTTGGGCGGTCTTGGGGAAGTCTTGGAGGCCTCTTGGGCCATCTTGGAGCGTCGGGAAGCCGAAATGGCGCGAAGGCGAACATTTGTCAAAAACCTACGTAAAATGAACGATGTTTGCCCTGTGGGGCTCTCTTGGGCGGCTTCTTGGAGGCCACTTGGGGTGTCTTGGCGGCCTCGTGGGCCATCTTGGACCCATCTGGGGCGTCTTTGGCCGATCTTTCGGCGACTCGAAGCCTTCTTGGAACATCTTGTGGACCATCTTGGGGCCGTCCGTGCCTCCCGGAAGCGCGTCTGCAGAAGTGGGGCCGTGTGGTGCCGTCTTCCGCCGTCTTCTGCAGGCGTTCCGCCCGTCGCCGGGGCCATGTCCCGGGGGGTCCCCCCCCAGACCCCCCCAGGGGGACACTAAACGGGAACCCCTCCGCCAGGTCGGGGAAAAAACTGCGTTTTACTAAAGCGAAAAGATAGCTTTAGTAAAGCGGAGAGACGGCTGGGGAACAACTGCGCACGGAAATTTCGCTCCGCC